AAAAGGTCAAGGTTAACATCCACAGTGATTAGTAAATGTGATTTTAAAAAGGAAACACTAAGAAACTGCCATAGATCAGAGAAGATAAGAAGACCATGATGACTCAACATAGTATCCTAGACTGGAAACTGGAACAAATCAGTCTAATCAAGGCCTATTTTACAAAACACCTGATTGGTAACCCTCAAAACAATCAAGATCATCACAAATAAAGAAAGCCTAAGGAAGAATGACTACTAAGTGTAGTATGCTTTCTTGATTGGGATTCTGGAATAGACATTAGGTAAAAACTAAGGAACTCCAAATGAGGTCTGGACTTTGGTTAATGATAAGTTATCAATCTAGTTTCATTAATTATACAAATTTAATATATCAAGGTAAGATGTTAACAATAGAAGAAACTGGATATGGAGTATATACAGTAAGTATCTATCTGTACTATCTTTGTAATAATTCTACATACCAGAAAAGTTTTTAATTATTAAAAAAAAAAAGAGAGAGAGAGAGAGAGAGCAGCTGCTCAGGAGACTGAGACAGGAGGACCACGAGTTCAAAGCCAGCCTCAGCAAAATCAAGGTGCTAAGCAATTCAGTGAGACCCTGTCTCTAAATAAAATACAAAAAAAAGGGCTGGGGATATGGCTCAGTAGTCAAGTGCTCCTGAGTTCAATCTCTGGTACCAACCTACACCCCCCAGAAAAAAGATGTTAGTAGAAATACTAGCAAACCACAAATAAGAATCCATATATACATTATACATTGATGTTAATACCTTAGTTTTGACTACATATCATAGTTAAATAAGCTGTTAATATTAGGTGGGCTAGGAATGTAGCTTGTAACTTGCCTAGCATACCTAGAGTCCTGGGTTTGATCTGAAGTACTGCAAACAACAAGGAAAAAGAACATGAGGGAAAAACTATATAAAAGAAATATGGGAACTGTCAAAATTATCTTTATAAAAAGTTTCTGGTAAATCTAAAATTTTTGAACTATTTTTTAGTTGTTGACGGATCATTGTTTAATTTATTTATTTATTTATATGTGGTGCTGAGGATCGAAACCAGTGTCTCACACGTGCTAGACAAGCACTCTACCACTGAGCTATAGCCCCAGCCCAAGAGTTTATTTTTTTAATGGGCAAAAATACCTAAACTGATACTCTAAGAAGATATGAATAACCAAATACTATGAAAAATGGTCATTATAGAAATGTAATTTAGAAGGAAAATGAGGAAACATTACATAACCATTAGAATGACTAAAATTAAAAAGACTAACCTCCTAAATGGAACAAACAAATCCCTGAAAGACACAAACTTACCAAGGCACTTAAGAAGTAGATCGTTTATAAACCCATAACTCTCAAAGAAAGTAAATTTCTAGTTCAATACCTTGACACAAATAAACCTCCAGACTTAGCTAGTTGCAATGGCAAAATCCTATCAAACACTGAAGAAATAATTCCAATTCTATACCTTCTTACAGAAAATAGGAGGAAAAATTTTCCAGTAAGTTAGGCCAACACTACTCTGACAACAACACTAGACAAGAAGATTACAAGAAAGCAAAGCAGATCAATCTTCATCAATATATATACAAAGTTCTTCAAAGCGTTTTAAAAAAAATGAAACCCAGTATTGTTCATGAATAGAACAATTTATCAAATGCAAAAGGCCTTTCCCCAGGAAGGCAAATTTGGGTTAACATTCAAAAATCAACCAATGTACTTCACCATAATATCAGAAGAAAATAGAAGAAGCACACAATTTTGTCCAGAAGGGTTATCTGATGAAAACTAAAACACGTAAGTAAAAATGTAAGACAATGGTAGAAATTTTATAATTAATATAGTTAAGTGTGAAAAAATGTTGGGCGTTGATTAATAAGACAAGATAATCAAATCTTTGAAAATCATCAGGTACAAACAATTTCTCATAACAGATTTAATTACTTAAAAGGAATTAAGAAATGGTCTTAAGTAGTATAGAGAAAGAGGAACAAAGGAAGGGAGGAGACGAAGGAAAGTGGAAGTACTGAAGGTTGAAATGGAGCAAAATACATTTCATGCATGTATGAATATGTTAAAAAGAACACCACTATTATATATAATGCACTAATAAAAACATTAAAAACTGCTATTATAAAGTAATCCAATTTATTTCAGATGAATAATTTACTTGAGACAAGGAAAAGGTAGGTGGAAGAGGAGAACAAGAAGATGGTAATGGCATTGTGCTAGATTTCTTCTTAAATTCAATGAGTAATTTCCTGATTACCCACTATGTGTCACTTTTTTTAAAAAAGGCATTTATTAATTTATTTGTTCTAATTAGTTACATAGGACAAACAAATAAAAAATGGACAGTAGAATGCATTTTGACACATCATACATAAATGTGGTAAATTAATGGAACTGAAGATATCATGTTAAGCAAAATAAGTCAATCCCAAAAAACCAAAGGCCAAATGTTTTCTCTGATATGAGGATACTAATTCATAATTGAGGGGTGGGGCAGTTGCCAGAGAAGAATAGAGGTATTTGGACTACGTAGAGGGGAATGAAAGGAGGGGAGGGAGTACAGTACCCCTGTCTAGGAAGGACCTTAGAATGAATCAGACATTATTACTCTGTGTGTCACTTTCTAAATAATGGAAATATAGCAATGTGTGAGAAAGAGAGTAATCCTTCCTCTTACAGAATTTACCGACAGAAAAAAATTAAATAAAATACATATCATATTAAAAGTTATTATGGTTTAGATTTTAAATGTCCCCTAAATGAGTTGAAGGCTTGGTTACCTACATGTGATACCACTGGGAGGTGGTGGAACTTTTAGGAGGTGGGTCTCAATGGAAGGAAATTACATCATTGGGGGTATACCTTTAAAGGGGATATTGAAATCCCAGCCCCTTCCACATTCTCTCTTTGCTTCCTGGCTGCCATGAAGCTCTGCACTCTCCGCCATGATGTTCTGCCTTGCCATGGAACCAGAGTGAATGGGGCTGACCATGGACTGAAACCTGTGAAACTGTTGGGTCAATATAAATCTTTCTTCCTTTACCTCCAGTATTCTGTCACTGTGACAGAGAGCTGATTAACACAAGTGTCAGTAAATACTATGGAAAAAAATTTAAGCAGGAAAGGAGACACATGTACTGGGGCAAGATTTTCACTGGTGTTATTAGAGAACTAGAAGATTTCTGGGTTCACTTTCAGTTCAAACATCCAATGACTTTCTTCTACATTGACTAGGCAGCATGAAAACACACAGTGAACCTCTGAACCTGACCTCTTTAAACTCATACATTCTATCTCCTTACTCTTGTGTGTCAACACTTATATTTTAGAAAAACAGGATTAAACATACATTTTTCCATACTGAGACAAAGCGTATGTTGTCACTTAATAAAACAAGTAATTTCCCAATCTTGCCTTGGGAGAGGAAAATAAGAAAAATAAAACCTAGTGATTTCTCCCCAGACAAAAGTTCTAAAAATGCAGCATTTTTGTACTCAACATAAAGGATTAAAACTAGTTATTTTTTTCCTCCCCCTCCAATATATTTATGGTCTGGAATTTGGACCTTTACTGGCACTAAGTTACAACAAAAGGTGGTTTAACAATGTCTCTGGAATGAAAGATTTTTCATAAACAAGAAAAGTCACATGAATAAAAGAATTACTACTATAATTATTTTAGCAAACATATTTTTGTGGCTGATATGTGCCAAGTACAGAACTATTTTACATATTAGGTTGAACAATAAGAAATTGCTATTTATAGGTCAAAAACAGTAATTTTATATAGTTTGAACTAATACATTAATTTCAAATTCCATAAAACAGAAGTTTGTATAGATTAAATGCATCGTTACTTTTCTATAATTCTTATATTATCATCTTGGGAAACTTTTTTTGCTTTTATTTAGGGATGTAAAGGTTCTCAGCTAAGTGGTACAAATAAATGGAAGATGCTATCTATCTGTGATAGTTCAAGCAAGCAAATACTTAATTTTATCTAAAATTTAACTTGAAGATTTGAACTTTAAGTATCATGATCATGTGGCTTCATTTTATAAAAAGCTCAATTTATTAATCATGCCTACTATTCTGCTTATAAAGATTCTTCTTTCCAAAAATGAGTTTTTGACCAAATCATACTGCATGCAGGTACACACATATAACATAACAAATCACACTATTATGTATATTTACAACACACAATAAAAATTATTAAAATAAATTTAAAAATTGATGATTTTTTTCTCCAGAAGGAAGAATATAAAACAATCCAAAATTATACTAATTTCTTCAATCTGTTAATTTATATTAGGATTTCCATTTCTTTAGAAATGTTTCACTAAACTGGTCATGGTGGTGCATGCCTATAATCCCAGCATCTTGGGAGGCTGAGGATCCAAGTTCAAAGCCAGCTTCAGCAATTTAAGCAAGGCACTTAGCAACTCAGGGAACTCCTGTCTCTAAATAAAATAACAAAAAAGCGCCCCTGGGTTGAATCCCAGTACAAAACAAAACAGAGATGCTTCACTAAACAGTACTTCTCAAAAAGAAAATACTGTACACAAACTAGCCTATTATGCTCAATCCAAATAAATTTCAAATTCATCTGTTAAAAGCAGTTTAGTCTCTAAAGTTTATTTTTTTTCCTCTGGCAGCTATTTTTTATTCAGTATACAGTTCATGTTTACAGGTCAGATTTATGAAACATTCATAAAATAGTCTGTTCTTTTCTAAAATTGTATGTCATCTAAAATTTCATCTAACAGAATAAGGCAGGTACTTTGTACAGTATTAGCAGTTAGGAAAATTTATTTCCAACATTTAAATGCTGACAAACACTTTTAGTGAAACAATATTTAGAAAAAAAAATAACAAAAACTACCCATAGTTTTTTTAAAAAAGAATTAATTCAAGAAGAATATGATAATACACTTAAGAAAACAATAAATTTAAATAAGTAAATATATAAAAACCTACCAGCTCATTGCTTGTAGATGTGAGTTTTAGTTTTTCTTCAATTTCCTTTCCAATTTTCTGAACAGTTACCTGAGTCTGCTTAATTGCACACTGGGCTCTATGAAGCCTAGAAATACAAGTTGCAGAAAATCTTAAGTGAGTTAATTATAAACTCAACACAAAGCCACAGATATGATAATATTTCTAGGATAAATAGAATTAATAATGGACCCATAATTCACATCTATAATGAAAATATAGAGGGGGTACAATAAATCCTAAAATAATAATACTCTAAAACACCTTTCTGCACCTGCTTGCCTGCTTCTGATATATTAAGAGATAGAATGAAGGTCTCACAAGAAGAGCCCACAGGAATAATCCAGTCAAATCTTGTCACTCTACACATGTAGAAACTGAGGTCCAAAGAAATAAAGTGGATTGCTAAATTCTACCAACTGAGTACCACTGCTATCAAGGCTATTACGTATAGATACCCATAAGGATAAAAAGAATTTACAATCATTCCAGTTAAAAAGCTTAAATCAGCTGGACAAGGTGATGCATGCCTGTAATTCCAGCTACTCAGGAGGCAAGGCAGGACGATCAAAAATTCAAGGTCAGCCTGAGCAAGGTATCCAGACCCTGTGTAAAATAAAACAAACAAAAAAGGTCTGGAAATAAAGCTCAATGGTAGAGCATTCCTGGGTTCAATTCCCAGTGCCAACCCCAAAAATAAACAAACAAACAAATAAATAAATAAATAAATGTAGCTTATACTCTGAAACAGGTTTTTTTTTTTTAATCTTATTTATCCATTTATTTATTTATTTTTGTACTGGTTGAATCCAGGGATGCTTAAGCACTGAGCCACATCCACAGCCCTTTTTAAAATATTTTATTTATAAACAGAGTCTCACTGAGTTACTTAGGGCTTTGCTAAGTTGCTGAGACTGGCTTTCAATTTGTGATCCTCCTGCCTCAGCTCCCATGTTGAAGTTGCTGGGATTACAGGCATGTGTCACTGCTCCTGGTAATAGCAACTTTATTTTTGAGTCAGAAGTCCTCAAAGAACATTGAAAAAATTGAAGAGCTGTTTTTCTTTTTCCTTGTAGTTTGTAGGACTTTTGCTTTTTGGTCTATCTTTAAATATGGTTTATATATTTCACAGGTCACAACTGGCATGTGGAAAATTCTTAGGAAGGTACAAAACAATGTACTAGAACAAACAAGTGAATTTAGTGAATTTTAGTAATGTCAGAGTATACAAGGTCAATATAAAAATAAATCAATTACACTTCTATGTTAGCCACAAACTATTGGGATACAAAATTTAAAACAATACCTTTACAATAACATCAAAAAATATAAAATACTTAGAAATAAAATAAACAAAAGATGTGTAAGATCTCACCCTGAAGTTATAAAACACTGCTAACATATATTAAAGAAGAGCTAAATAAATGGAAAAATATATCATGTATACAGACTGGAAGATTGAATATTGTTAAAATGTTAGTTTTTGTCAAGAGACCAACAGTTTCACAATCCTAAACAAAATCCCAACGTGCTTTTTTTCTGTAGAAATTAATAAGTTGACACCATAATTTACCTAATAGAGTAAAGAATCTAGAAGTGATAAATCAATCTTGAAATCTATCAGATTTCAAGACTTTCTATAGAGTTACATAATCAAGATACTGGCTTAAGGACCAAAAAAATAGATCAATGGCCAGGTGTGCCTATATACAGTCCCAGCCACTTGGGAGGCTGAGGCAGGAAGGTCACTTGAGTCCAGGACTTTAAGGCTAGTGTGAGCATCCAATCTCAAAAAAAATCAATTAAATCAAATAAAGAGTGTATTAATAGAGCTACACATATATGGAAAATTGGTTTTTGACAAAGGAATCAAGGCAAATCAGTAAAGTTTTTAAATAAAATCAAATTTTTTAAAATAAAGTATAGGAATATTAAAAAAAAAACTTGGGAGAAAAGTAGCATCATCCTCTACCTCACAGCAAGTGAAAAATTAAATTAAGGAAGATCATAGTAAACAAAAAAGCTAAAATCATAAAACTTCTCACAGAAAATGTAGAAGAATGTCTTGCAACCTTATGGTAGGGAAGGATTTATTAGAAGACACACTTAAAAAATACAAATCATAAAATTAAAAATGGGTAAATTGGACCTCACCAAAATTAGAAGCATCTAATTCATCTAAAGATGCCATTAAAAAATGAAGGACTGGGGATATAGCTCAGTTGGAAAAGTGCTTGCCTCACATGCACAAGTTCCTGGGTTTAATTCCCAGCACCACCCAAAAAGGCATGGTTGCACACACCTGTAATCTCAGTGACTCAGGAGGCTGAAGCAGAAGAAGAGCAGCAGTTCAAGACCAGCCTCAGCAACTTAGGGAGACCTTGTCTCAAAAAAAATAAAAAGGGCTGGAGATGTAGGTCAGTGGTAAAGAGCCCTGAGTTGGAAGAAAGGAAGGAAGAAAAGAAAGGAAGTGGGGGAGGGAAAAAAGAAAGGAAAGAAAGGAGGAGGAAGGGGAGAAAGAAAAATAAAAGGCAGGCCACAGACTGGGAGAAAATATTTGAAAACATCTATCTGACAAAGGACTGTGCTTGGACTATATAAAGAACTCTTACAAATCAATAACAAAAAGAAACAGACAAAATAGTGAAACAAACACTTCACAAAAGAAAATGTAGGTGGGCTCAGTGGCACAAGCCTATAATCCCAGCAGCTCAGGAGGTTGAGGCAGGAAGATCCAAGTTGAAAGCCAGTCTCAGCAATTTAGTGAGCTCTAAGCAACTTAATGAGACCATTTCTCAAAATAAAAAATAAAAAGGGCTGGGGACGTGGCTCAGAGGTTAAGCGCTCCTGGGTCCAATCCCCAGTACCAAAAAGAAAAAGGAAATGTAATGGCCAACAACATAGAAAAGGTGTCTAACATCTTAGTCATCAGGGGAATACAACTTAAAACATTTCACAGGGATTAGAAAATTAAAATTAAAATGACAACACCAAATGCTGGCAAGGATGTGAAGCAACTGGAACTTTTCTGCACTTCTTGAAAAAGAGTTAGTAATACTCTTAAATAAAACATTCTGAAAAACTGTTTTATAAAGTTAAATGTACATCCAATCTATGGCCCGGCAATTCTACTCCTAGACATTTATCCAAATGAAAATATATTTATATAAGAAGATTTGCCTAGGAATGTTTGCAGAAAACAATGCAGTGTCCAGAATTCCACAGTAAAAGTCTACTCAGCAATAAAAAAAAAAAAAAGGAAGGTAACATGAAAACACACAATATGGATGGATAAAAACTTTGTGCTGTGTTGTGGGGGAAGCCCCAGACCAAAACGCACATGGTGTATGATTCCCTTTATACAAAGGTCAAGAACAGGTAAAGCCATTCTATAGTGACAAATCCAAACAGTGGGATGGGGTCTGTTAGTGATCAGAAGGAACAGAGAACTATCTGGGTTGATGGAAATGTCCTACATAAACATTAGGAGGAGTATAGCAAAACTCAGAAAATTTACATGTAAGAATTGCACATTTCACTACATCTAAATTTTACTTTGTTTTAAAAAATTGGTCATCAACCCTAACCTGAAAATAATCATGTATGTGGGAAGTTCATTTTATTAAGGATTTGATGGCACTAATATCTCTGCCAACATTATTATCATGATGACACTGCACACTAAAAACATTCATGACTATTCTTTACTTTTGAAAATTGCTTGATAGTCATTGAGAATTTCTTAGGTCACTTAAAAAGGGCCAACTCTCATTACGGCTCCTTTGCTCATGAGATCAGTAATTCAACAACTTCCTTAAGACTCCTAAAGAATTCACGAGAAGATACCCCACCCCATAGCTTCCTGCTCTGGCTGTGTATGTTTGTTTATTTGTTTTTAAAATATGTATATAAATATATATAAATAAATATATATATGTATATATATTTAGTTGTTGATAGACCTTTATTTACCTATTTATTTTTATGCAGTGCTGAGGATTGAACCCAATGCCTCATACATACTTGGCAAGAGCTCTACGACTGAGCTACAACCCCAGCCCTGTATGTATGTTAAACAGCACTGATGATAATACTTTCTTACAAAGGCACCTCTAAAGAAATTTTAAAGAAAGAGAAAGGCCTTTGGGCAGTGATCCCTGCCTACATCTCCAGCCTCTGTTTTCTGATATTCTTTACCTTGCACCATCAACTCCAACAATACTACACTACTGGCAATTTTCCAAACATTACACACCATTTCTCACTTCCACACCTGTGTATGAGCTGTTGCATCCACCTTCAAGTTCTCCATGTCCCTTAATAAGTAAATAAACTCCTAATCCATTAGGAGGCAGGTCAAGTACAGCCTCTTCTTCAAAGGCCTTCCCTGACTATTCCAACAGGCAGAGGCACTCCTTTCTCCTGGAAATACACATCACTTCATGCATGACATGCACAACAAGTAGTATTACAGAAATCCATTTTATAGCAACTGTTGGTGCCCCCTGTTTCTGTACTAGATCTTTCTAAAGGGGGGAAAATCCCATTTTCTCATATATATTCTAAATGTTAAGCACAGAACACAGCACAAAAGAGGCACTCCGAATATATTTGCTAGCTGAACATCTAATGTCTAAATATAAAAGTACAGTCCTGAGATTTGTTAATTTTGCTTGATATAGTAGAGTTTAATTGAAATATCAATGTGAATTTTCTACTTATAACTTCAAAATATTATATCAAAACAAAAATCACACAAATTAAAGACCATTCTTTCAAGTAGAGAAATAAGAAATTTTTACCAAAAATGATAGACATTATCAACCCAGAGGAAAGATCAACAAAACAGCCTGTTACTTTAAAAGGGGGAGAGAGCTGCCTAAGACTTCACTGCTATGCAAACAACCTTGTCAAATGGTAAAGACTTTAAAAATAAAAATGATTCATGACCATAATTAATGTATGACTTCAACTATTTGGCTCTCATTGCCCCAGACGCTTTCTGATCTTACCTTAGGGGCTTAAAACACACAGACAGAGTCACATTTCCTCCAATCTTCAGTGTTATCCAAATAGACTTTCAGAGCC